GCAGGTCACACTGGCCTAAAGGTAGCCATTGGGTTCTCACTTTCTGAAGCTAACTCAAATCCTAACATTGCCTCAGACAATACAGCACAGTTCCTACCCTGCAGCTTTCATACCATCCCATCATACGGCTCCCCAACCAAACCTGCTGGGAGTCCACTGCAGGGCATTCATACACTGGTCTTGCTTATAGGTGAAGGTGAATGCCTCTGGGTAAGTACATGTGCTCTGTCTCCACAGGCAGGGCTGAAGCTGCTTCCCATTCTAGACCATGCTGATACCATGGTTATCTAAGACTAGAGGACAAGGAGACCAAGGGCTACAAGTACAGGCATGGAGAACCACTCTCACTGCTGCACTGAGAGCTGACACAGACAGGGAGCACCCCAAGGCTTGGACTCACTGGGGAGATGGGGACACAGGGTATGTGATCCTGGCTGTCCACTCTACCTATCTTTAGAAAGCCCCTGGGGGACTTTATCACACTATCTCCCTAAGCACACAGATTCTGGGGAAGACCTAGTACAGATGTCTAGTAGGTCCCTATAGTAGAGACCAATAGGGAGCCAGGATGCATGCAAATCTGAGCTCCTGATGCACTCAGAGCCTTGCCCAGACCCCTCCATGCAAGAGTGACCTAACCCGGGCTCACAGCCCAGGCTTCCTCCATAGTCACATTACTCTAACAATCTGCTCAGCATTCCTCCAGCCAAGCCCCAGGATGGTCCCTGTCTGTACGAAGAAACAAGTCATTGTACCAACCTGAGGACAACAGGCAGCCAAGAGGCAGAACATGGGGCAGGAGGGGGTCCTGAGAACAAGATGACCACACCTCCACAGGCAGACACCCAACCATGTCCTTAAGAAGAAACAAGAGAGGGGCTGGAAAGAGAGCTCAGTGGTTAGGAGTGCTTGATGCTCCTCCAGAGAGTTTGGTTCCCAAAACCCTTATCAGGTGGCTCACAAGAACCTGTACTTCCAGCTCTAGGGGATCCAATGCTTTCTTCTGGCTTCCATAGGTACCCCTATATTTGTGGCATACACAAACAAATAAAAATGAAATAAATCTTTGGAGGAGGAGGAGAAGTTTCGCAGGCAGAGTATGACACAATACAAACATTGGTGTGTAAGGGGGCAGGTTGCCTACACACCTCACAGTCCCAGTCCTGAAGCTTTCCCTGGCTACCCGGGTTTTGTAACCCTGAAACATTGCTACACTCTCCTCCTGAGCCAGCAGCATGCAGAGCCAGTAGGGACAAAGTAATCAAATCTCAGAGCTCTGGACAGGGAATGAAATGCATGCTCAGCTCAAACCCTTGCCAATCTCAAACAACATAGATCATCAGGGACAGACTGTTGAGCCCAAATGAGTAGACGAGTTTCCGTTCTGCAAGTGACACTGGGGTCCTAGGTATGTGAATCTGGGACTCTGCAAGCTGATGGGCTGAATTTAGTGCCAAATGAGTAGACACCATAGACACAAGCAGGCAGTCCTATATAGCCAGTACAGATTGCTTCAATCACTGTGCAAAGACAGTGCCACCCGTGACCTCTGCTCCACAGGAAAACAGCAGATACAGAGCTGCCCAGCTGCCCTCAGGGAGGTTGGGGCTCCTCTGTGCATAGATAGAGCAATGAGGCCATTACAAGGCCTTTCTATGCCTTCAGGGCCTGGCATCAGTAGGTCCTGCTATGTCACATACCCAATAAATAAAGGCTCATTTAAAGCTCAAATGAGTGAGAAAGGAGAAGGGAACCAAGTTCAGAAAGACAGCAGCTTCCGCTTCCTCTGTAGATCCATTCACAGGAGTTCAGTGGATAGATGAATATTCATGTGTACAGCCGGCAGTCACAGTCACACAGGGGTCATCAAGAAGCCAGAGCACACCTGCTACCGCCAGGCGGAAGTTAGGCTCAGTCCTGGCCTTGGCTCTGGTGGGTGGGTAGACAGTAAAGGGGACAAGCCAGCCAAGGCCTTCTGAATTGCCAGGCTGTGAGGCCTCTTCAGACCAGGTGGCAGCTTTGTGTGTCTAGAACAGAGGAGGAAGTGCCCTGCTGACCTGGCAGGCTCCAACTTCCCTCCTCTGGGCTCTTAGCATTTCCTCCCAAGGCCACTTGGCTCGGCAGTCCCCAGTGCTACTTGGAAAGAACTGGTAATAACGGGACCCACTACAAATGGTGGCTTTCAGAAAAGCATTCCTTTCATGCAGAGAGCAGCTCTGTGCTGTGGGAGAGGCTTTAATAATTATGAGTACCATGGGACTGAGGAGTGGCTCTTACACTTGGGTTTTAGCAGAGGCTAAGCAGTAAACCTGTATGTACCACAAGCCTGCTCTGTGGTCAGTCAGCTCAAAGGTACAAGAAGCAAAGCACCTGACTATGTCAGGTAGCTGGGTTAAGGCTCCAAGAACATGGTAACTTCACATCATTTTTCAAAAGCACCTTCACAGGACACAGCTGCTCAAGAACTAGTGGCCCAGCCACACAGTGCCAATGACAATATGACCTGAATTAGGATAAACAATGTGTGTGGGGGGGAGCAAGTGGATAGACAGCTAAGATTTTACCAACAGCTGGAAGGATGCACTTCTGGAACTTACCAGGCTGCACAGCTTTCCAGTAATCCAGGATGTTCTATCATAAACTGAGCTGGTTCTTCACTAACTAGCTCTGTGACTCTGGGGAGAAGAACAACCTTTCTGGGCTTTGGTGGTCTGTGTATTCCTCCAGCCCAAGAAACTTCATGTGCTAGGAATGTCACCCCGAGTAAACCAATTCTGTCATGTTCATGTTTCAAATCTGACTAAATTTCTCTCATATTTACCCATAAACAAAACTCAGAAATGCAACTCATTAAATACTTACTATTGCCTTAAATGCCAAATGGAGAGTGTCAAATGCGTGAGAGTGAGCAAGTACACAGAAGAAAAGTCACAGGGCTCAGCCCTCAGACAGCTATCCATGAGCAGCACCTATGTTCAGAATAGTTTTAATTTTCACCAGTATTTAAACAATAGGAAAACTGGATTCATAATGGCCAGAAACTAAACACAATGCAAATGTACATCAGGAGGGGAATGTGTGAATGATGTACCACATCCACAGAGGATATTCCTGGCCCGGAAAGGACTAAACTGTTGCCACCCTGCAGACAAACTTCTAACAAACGAAGGCTCCATCGATGTGACTTTGTTCACATGATCTGTCCACAGCAAAGTCTTTAGGAACAAAAGGCAGAACAGCAGGTCGGTGGAGCTGAGTGAAGGTTCTTTCTGGGTAATGGAAATGTTCTATCTCATAGTAACAGTTATGTAGCTCTACAAATGTGTGGGTTTTTATTATTTTGCTATTATTGTTTTTATTATTTTTATTATTTATTGTTTTGGTTTTTTAAATACTCCAGCTTCAAACTGTCAGAATGGTAAATTTCATCTCTGTTTAAAGATCAGGCACAGGACACATCCCAACAGAGTATAAGGTACCTGTCCTCAGCAGGCCATGTCCTACTTCATGCTTCCTGGCACAGCTCCTAGAAATGACCCTGATCCCACCCACCAGGAATTCTTTAGCTGGACTTCAAGAATGGTCATTTGACAAAGAGACTGTGTTTCAGATTTGGGAGGAAATATCAGTCATTCCCTGAAGAGCTACTATCCTTGGGGAACACAGTACTTCTGTATCTGCCTTATAGCCTACACTCTGTTCCTCAAGAGTACAACCACCACAGGTTCCCTGATCTCCAAGAAATGAGAACTTAGGTAACACCACCTGGCCCCAGTTAAGTGGGCAGGCTCCACATGGTCACCGTGACCAGCAGGATGCCAATGGGCATCTGAGGTTGACATATCCTGTGGACCAAATAAAAGCATTTGCAAGGTGTGCGTGAGTCTCTGAATAATCTGACCCCCACTCTTGTCCTCTTGCCTTCCTACCTGCTGCCCACATCACAATGCACAGGCCCCTGTGTCTGGATTCACTCTCCCTGCAGGAATTCCATGCCTTCTGACACTCTCTTCTATAGGACACTGTGCTTCACGATGGCACCCACCTCTAAGATGCTCACCTCACTGCTCTGACCTCAAGAGGCCCTCACTAAAGCCTGGCTCACACAGCACTGCTACCAGCTATCCCCATCCTGCCAAGGACAGAAACCATTTCTTATCTGTGTGTCCCAGGGTCTTCACGTGGCAGAATAAAGCCTGGCACTTGGTCTATATTAACAAACATCCTGAGAACTGAGCTGAGTACAAAAGAAGGTCCAGTTCAGGGAAACAAGAACTGCAAGGGACACAGGTAAGATGCCACAAAACACACACACCACAGGCATGTCCAACAGGACTCAGAGCACCAGGCCAGAAGCACAAATACCAAAGGCCAAGCTCCCTACCAGCAATTAAGAAACTCCATGCACCAGGAATGTCACCCATAGTGAACCAATTTTGCCATGTTCGTGTTTCAAATCTGACTAAAAAAAATCTCTCATGTTTACCAATAAGCAAAACTTAGAAATGTAACTCATTAAATGAACTTACTATTGCTTTACTTAACAAGAATAGCAGCCAACGTGTCCTCTCTTCAGTAGCAGCGGTGGTAAGCACAGCTCATTTCCAGCTCACTTGAGGTTTCTGTGTGTATTATGACTACCTGAACTTGAGCTGGGTACAATTCTAAGAACTGAAATGTGCCTTAAAGCAGGGACAAGTCATTTCTGGTGCTTGGATGAAACAGTAAGGAAGTCAGCTTTCCTTCTCCCAAAGTAGAAAACCAGTCAGAACAGAAAACAGGTACTGCTGTTCTGTCCCCAGGAGGATGAGCTCCTTCCTGCTCAGTGTCAGTGCTGAGGATCAGACCAACCTGAACTCCCACAAGGAACCCAGCCAGCTGAGAGAGAGAGAAAGAGACAGACAGACAGACAGAGACAGAGAGAGACAGAGAGAGAGAGGGGAGAAAACACCTTTCCATCAAAAAGGCAAGCCTAGGAAACCAACAAGCTATTTATTTACCAAATGACGGCCAGGGGTCAGAAATGTTCACAGGAGCCGCTGTTCCACTCCAGGGGTTGGTCTGGTTAGCAGAGGCCCCTGGACCCCAGGGTTCAGTTTTCTGGGTAACAGGGCATGAGCTGGGAAGGGCATCCATTAAATCCAACAAAGTAGTCTGCTGTGAGTGGGAGCCTGGCTGTTTAAAAAAAAAAACAAAAACCAGAAGGAATGGTTTCACTTGGTTACAGTCACAGCAAATATCCACATACTAAGCACAAATATTAGTTCTTACCACAGCACAGGCCTTCTGGGCGGAAGTTCTGAAGGACTTGGAAACTGAGCTGCTGCAACCCCAAGGCTCCACTAGAGTTCCTGCTTCCCAGGGAAGCCAGGGATCCAATACACCAAGGTACTTATTATTTGCCAAATGTCTACAAGTTGTAGTGAGTTTTCAGGGCTCCCAAACTCTCTCAGGATAATGCTGGGATGGCCCAGACTGTGATTGCCCATAATCCCCCTCTTCACCTGCCTTGGTTTCCTAACTACAAGCACTCAGTACCCACCCTGAGAGAGGGAGGCTCCTCTCTCTCTCTCTCTCCCCCTCCCTCCCTCCCTCCCTCCCTCCCTCCCTTTCCTGTTTCCACAACATCTGTCATCAGGATGGGGGGCAGGGGGATTATAGCTAGTGAGGCCACTAGAACTCTAGCCTGGGGCAATCTCTCTGACTGGATGGTAATAAGTTTGTCAGAAGAGAACCACATTCTGGTCACCTCTGTATCACAGCCTAGCAAAGTAGGGGAGATGGGGGATAGGGTGGGAGGGATGGAGACAATTGGCTTTTCTGGGCCAAGGAATATCCCCAAGTGCCACTGTAAGTGAGACAGACATGGCTGCTACCACCCTCCTTTTACAGGTGGCATCAAGTGTCTTCTCTTGGTTGCTGTGGTTTTTATTGTGTTCTCACTGGTGTTCTGTTCACCGCAGCATGGGTTCAGTGTCGAGGTTGGCATCCTACCATCCTACCACGTGCCCCACCCTCAACCCCGTGTCCCTCCCTCACTGTATATCCCAGGGGTACCTGGAACAACTTCACACATGTACCTTGCAGCAAGCCTTCACCTCTTTCTTTTTTGGAACTTTAACTGTGTCTCTCCGGCTTTCTTCCAGAGCCATCTGCAATCTGAGGTCATCACCCCGCCTGAGGCGTTCTTCCTGGAGTGGGACAATGGAGCTTGAGGCTGAGGGTAATGTTGACAGCAACACAGCAGGGCACAAGGCCACACTGGCCAGCAACAGGAAAGGCCCTGCATCATGTGGCATTTCAAGGGAGAATATAGTTCAGCTGGAAACAATAGCTTTCCATTCCCAGAGGTTCCTCCTTCAGAGGCTGTCTGAGGTCATACCAGCAACACTCAGGCACCATCAAAATGGGGAAACAAAACACTTTAGATTAAATAGTTCTTTGGGCCTGGAAAGATGGCTCAGTAATTAAGAAAGCACTTGCTCTTACAGAGGACCCAATATCAATATGCAGCACCCACACAATGGCTCACAACCATCTGTAACTCCAGTTCCAGGGGATCCAACAGGCACGCATGTGGTACACATACATGCATGCAGGCAAACCATTCATCCACATAAAGCAAAAGCAGTGTCTCCTTACAAAACACAAATCTGACAACCAGGAAAGGAATTAGAAAAGATGAAAAATCACACATCATTCCAATCCCCACAGTGGACAGACACTCCCTGAACAACTGACCAGTTGTATGATATCTAGTAGAAACAATTCATCCTATTTATTAAAGGCAATGTCACTTGCAAAAGACAGGCCTGCCCTAACATCTATGTGATTAAAACACACTCTTGGGTTTTAGCTAAAAAGGCTAAAGCCATCCACCCATCCCAGAACCTTGCAGTGAGACCTCCTGGGCACCGTGATCCCCTGAAGCCATGAGCTTCCACATGGGCAGATTTAATTAATGGCTGCAGGTTCTCTACAGGGGGCAGAGGCCATGATCAAAGCTGCCCATTGTTGCTGTTACAGACATACCAACTATGGCGGCCAAACCTCTCTGTGTTCACATTTAACACCCAACATTCTTCTCTCCATACGAGGGGTGTACCTTGCTGCCTCTGGCTGTCTGCTCGCTTTCTGATGACTGAAAGCAAAGGGACACTGTCTAAAGGTGTTTGAATCGCCCCTTTCGCTCCTCCATTTTAAAGTAATGCATGCTTAAAAACAAGTTATAGAGGGGAACAAAACCACACACAGGCTCAATATTAGAGCACTTCCTTACAAAGGGTCTGGGTTCCATCTGACACCACACACTTAAAAAAAAAAAATCTATGCTGTTTCTACCATGCCCGCATGCACTTTTTCCTGGAGCCTCCCTTCTCCCACACATCTGCCACAGGGTACACTGCCTTGGCAGGGACCAGGCCCACTCCACCTACCCCCTCCCCTAACCCAGGCCTGTCCCGCCCACTGCCCTGTAAGCTGGCACCTCAAGGAGGCACACAGCTCGCTCAGGAGTCCCTGGATGGTAAGTCTGCACTGAACTTCCAGGAGGCACTCAGGGCGAGCTGCTTTTCTGGACACTGACCTTCATAAAAACCTTTCCTAGATACAGCTCTGCCTGGTCTAGGGGATGAGAATACACTGTGGCCACAAGAGCAAACGCATCAAGTAAGTGCCTTAAAGACAGGGCTGTGTGTGTCATCCTCTCTGGGATCCATACCCCTCCCCCAGGAGTACCAGGGTGAAGACCCCATGGCATGACCACACAAGCACTGACCTGTTCTGCCACCTCTCTGCTCATGGCAAGTGCCAGCTGCAGCTGCAGCTCCTCTTCTCCACTCGTCTGTGGCCGGGCCTGCTCCAGCTCGGAGGACACTCGTGGGGAAGTAGCTGTCGGGTAGGGGAGAAAGTCACCACATGCACAGAGAGGTCTGTCCCTCTCACTGACAGCACAAGTACTCCATTCTCATCTCAAACCTACGTGGCCCAGGAAGAGGAGAGGATCAAGCTACAGGTATTTCAGAATTAAAATCAAGTGCCAGTCAAACACGGCTGCATGCCTACAGAAGACACATGAAACCTTGGCTGGAGGTCATGCCTCAGGAGGATCAAATCTCAGTCTTCACAGCACATCACACAGAGACCTAAGACAAGAGGTCTGGAAGAGCCTTCAATCATAGGAAAGAGCCCAGGGACCAACGGCTCCAATCAAAACACCAACATTTGGAAAGCATGCTTAAGAAAATGAAGCCCACACTGTTCTGTGTAGACCCTGAGAGCTTGGGTGATACTGTACACAGGTGTGTTTTGCTTCAGGACCTAGCTAGTTAACACTGACAAGAGAGGCTCCTGTAAAGACTATTTTTATTGAAGGGGTGAAAAGCAGAGTCCTAGCTGAGATAACAAACCCCAAACCAGGAAGTCTACATTCATACAACCCAGGGATCAGATCAGGAGTTGAAAAGCAACAGAATTAGATGCACATGAGTATGAGAGCGTGGGAGCCTGAATTCGTACCCTCCTCTGCACTCTCAGCTTCAATAAAATCTGTAGATGGAGGCCTACCTCCTGAGGGAGCCACTGCATCTGATGGTGCCTGGCTCAGGTCTCCTCTGGGTTTCTGGGTAGCTCAGCACACCCTTCTCCCTCTGCTCGCCAGCTGCACAGCTCAGCCTTCTGCACTGGGAGCCACAGAGTAACCTGCCCTCATCCCCAGGCCAATAAACATTTATTCAGTGAACAGCTGCACTCATGGATGGATGAGTGGGTGGGTAGACAGACAGATGGACAAGTCAACTTCATAGCTTGGGCTAATTGTTTTAAATATTCTAATTTGTATTAATAACTTCCTTCTTTCGTGCATTCTAGCAAAAGTCACTACCGAGACTGTTCACCATAGTACGCTTCCGCATATTTAGTCTAAACTTGGTTCCTAGAAGTTGCCTCCTTGGCAGAAGTAAGAGATCAGGAATAACTCCTGACAAAGATGGTTTCTGGATGGCCAGCCAGGTCCAGGTTACAGCAGACAGGATGATTTAATTTGGAATCACTCATGATGGTGGGGGTGGGGGTGGTGGTGGTGGGGGTGGTGGGGTGGGGTGGTGGTGGTGGTGGTGGTGGTGGTGGTGGTGGTGGTGGTGGTGGTGGTGGTGGTGTAAGCCACCAATTGGCTCACATCTCCTGTCCTGAGCAGGCAAAACAAAAGCTGCAGTGACAAAGTCCTTCCTAAATAAAACCAGACCTAATCCCACTCTAAAAGCATTACCCCAATTACACTTTTCACAGGACCTCTTTAGAAATACAGTGTATGGTAATGAAACCACCTCAAATCCATTTTCATGATTAGATTTAACAATATACTTTGTTTGTTTTGTTTTGTTTTTCGAGACAGGGTTTCTCTGTGTAGCTTTGCGCCTTTCCTGGAACTCGCTTTGGAGACCAGGCTGGCCTCGAACTCACAGAGATCCGCCTGCCTCTGCCTCCTGAGTGCCGGGATTAAAGGCGTGTGCCACCACCACCCGGCCTGTTTTGAGTTTTTGAGACAGGGTTTCTTTGTGTAGTTTTGGTGCCTGTCCTGGATCTCGTTCTGTAGTCCAGGCTGGCCTCGAACTCACAGAGATCCACCTGGCTCTGCCTCCCAAGTGCCGGGATTAAAGGCGTGTGTCACCACCGCCTGGCTAACAACATACTTTTTTAAAATACACCTTTAGGTTGATTTGTTTCCAAACTCACTGATACCAATCAGAACACTCAGGTCTCTACTTTCTCATGCTCAAGAAGAAGAAGACATCAAATCATCCCCACTCAGCCTGGAGGGGACAAAGGCAGTGAGACAGAGACAGCAGCTCTACAGGGCAGACCTGGGGGAGTCCTGCCCCCTTGGTGAGGCCTCTTTGTACAAACCACTAGAAGGAACAGGAGCCTCCTGAGGAAGAGTGGGAATCGGGCTCACAAACCCTGCTGAGATCAGAGACAGCACTGACATCCTGTTTACAACCAAATGGGAATCCGGAAGGAATAAACATGAAGGCCACAGTGGCATGGAGTGCTCAGAGAGTAAGTCTTATCGTGCAGGGAAGGCTGCTCTGCAGGGAAGGCTGCTTGTTGGCCATCAAGGCACAGGAGATCCACTGGGTCAAATGGCTGGGGCTCCAGGCAGACTTGCTGCAGCCAAGAGGCCTCTTGGGTTTTCAGGGTCCTTGGACACACCTGTGGGGCCAGACTGGCTTCAAATGCGGATGGAACAGAAAGAACGATGCAAAGCCAGCAAACACTACAGATATGCCCTACCACATCCGTGTGGAGCTCCAGGCCAAAGGGTGTTAAAGGATACTGGGGTTTCATAAACGGATGCATGGCCCTCAGTTCCACAGGTGGCAGAATTCACAGCCACCATCCGCACAATCAGCTGAGTATGCACAGCAGGCCTTGGCTTACTTAGAGAAACGATTCTAGCACAGAAACTCTGGCCTCGTGATGGCATCTCAACCCCACAAAGAGACTTTTGTGCCCAGGCGCATGACAGGGAACACAGATGTTCCTGTGAGCCAGGCCTGAATGGATCCTTCTAACCAACTAACCTGGCCCTACTCTGAGCATCTGAAGGCTCACAACTTACAGAAACCCAAGGAAGAGCAAACATTTCCCTCAAACATTACCCCTGTCCCTGGGGATTAGGACATGGGTCAAGAGTGCTTGCTGAGTAAACACGAGGATATGAGTTCAAATCCTCAGCACTCACATAAAAAGATGGGTGTAGCTGTGCCCTCAGGTAAACCCAACACTGGAGGTGGAGAGGGAAAGGAGATAGGCTCACTGGGACTTGCTAGCTGCCAGCATAGTTCCAGATTCAATGAGACACCTGTCTCGAGAGAATAAAGTATAGAGTGATAGACAGCAGGACACTCAAAGATTCTTTTCTGACCCCTAAAAGTTGGTCCCACAGGAAGCCATGGAATTCTTCTGAACTTGGGCAGACCAGGGTGTCCCAACTTGAGCTCCAGATGAAGCCAGGTGTGGTGACATACCTGTACTCAAAGCCCTGGAAAGGCAGAAGCAAGATCAGGAATCCAAGGCCCTCAATGGCTACATCTTAAGTTAGATGCCAGTCTGCGTTACTGGAAACCTGTCTCAATAAAAACAAAAGTGAGCAGTCGAAGCTCTGCATAGTGTCACACACCCGCAATCTCAGCACTGGGGGGGCGGGGTGGTAGGGAAGGGCAAGGTTATAGGCAGAAAGAGCAGCTCAAGGATAGCCTTGACTGCATGTTGAGTTACAGGTCAGTATGGCCTGCCCTGTTTCAAAACAACAACAAAAAACAGAATAGATAAGCAAACACTCTAACCAAAGCATGTGCTCATGAACAGTTTGTCCATAATTCTCTATTATCTGTATAATACACAATGCTGTGATGGAATTCAGGTCTGTTCAGATGGTCAGTCTGGCTGCCCTTGGTGGAGGTGGACCCTGACCTTCAATTCTGTTCAAAGATCGGTTTGCTGCCAGTCATGATAAAGTTCCACAACCTCAAGACTCCCAAAATGTCCTCAGGTACAGCCCCCACCCACTCCCAGACTGGGACCCTGTCACTGAAAAACTGCTGACTTAGCTGGTGGGAACAGTGACTAAGATAGGAATGTTTCTGTTTTGTTTTGAGACATGCCTCTATATAGTCTTGGCTGGCCTGGAACTCACTATGTAGACCAAGATGGCCCAGAACTCAGTCAGAGAGATCCGCCTGTGCCTGCTTCTGCCTCAAGTGCTGGGATTAAAGGTTTGTGCTACCACACCAGCTTAAAATAGGGATCCTGAGGCAGACAAAGTCAGTCTTATGTCTACAGCTTTTACATCTGTGAATGCCAACCTTAGACTGAAAATATTTTGAAGGGAAAGATGTGCAGATGTGCTCCCTGGTGCATACATTAAAGCCATGGTTTCCAGGCATTCTCATCCCCAGAGGTATCGCAAACAATGCTGGGCTGTCTTACAGCAGCATGACTGTCAACTGATACACAACTACTGCAAGTCGAGGGTGGTTCTGGATCCAATTCTAAGGACAACCAGGCACAACTATGATGTGTGCAGCTGTTAAAATCCTTACAGGCTTCGCCGGGCAGTGGTGGCGCACGCCTTTAATCCCAGCACTCGGGAGGCAGAGGCAGGCGGATCTCTGTGAGTTCAAGGCCAGCCTGGTCTACAGAGCGAGATCCAGGAAAGGCGCAAAGCTACACGGAGAAACCCTGTCTCGAAAAACCAAAAAAAAAAAAAAAAAAAAATCCTTACAGGCTTGTGCAAGATCCCCAGAGAGGCTCCTGTTACGACATCATAAGATGGAAGATGCCAGGAAGATGCATATATAGAAGGATTTGAAGAGACTGAAATGCTCAGGAAGAACATACCAACAAAGCCCATAGCTGCCAGCAGCAGGGTGCAGACACCCTGTCTTCACTCTGTCTCACTATCAGAAAAAGACATCACCACTTGTACAATGGGAACCGAGCAGACTGACTGACCCGGGCTCATGCCACACCCACTAGTTACTACAGGACAGGTAAGAGTTACTACAGCCCACGGGAAGGAGCTGGCCTGAACAATAAAGGAGGAGACTGACCACCTGCTGCCTCTAACTCTCCAAAGGCCCTTGCCACAGGCCATCAGAGGAAAGCATGTGCAGCTGAGTGAAGCCTGACATGAACTCCAACCCAGAGCTGCACTTTGCAGCCTGGCAGCACCCTCACACACCACTCCGACAGGGTTTCTGACGTGAGGTGTGGTCAGGCACGGCCCAGGCTTTGGGACATTTGGGGCCATTTAAAGTTCCTGGACAGGGGCTCAGTTAGGTAGAGTGCTTGCCTGGCACAAAGGAAGCCGTCAGTTTGAACCCTAGCACCACAAAAACTGAGCATGGGTGGCACATAACGATAACTCTAGCACTTGAGAAGCAGAGGCGGAGGATCAGAAGTTCAAGGTTATCCTTGGCGACATACTGAGTGTAAGGCCAGTCTGGGCTACACGAGACCCTGTTTATAAAGGGGTGAGGGGTGGGGGTAAAGACAGTGCAGCAGTTAAAAACACAGGCAGCTCTTCCAGAGGACCCACGTGATTCCCAATTTGGTGTCAGTGTCTAGGATGTTCGAAGCCAAATTTGGATCCATCTCTAACAACTGTGTATGTCTCACCCTTATTTTCCTTTTGTCCCCATCTTCTAGTATCTAGCTAATCCTGTGGCATTCCATGTGTTTTGTAAGCCAACTCAAATCCTCTGTGAAGCGAGCCCAGCAAAGACATGAAATGGTCATAATCTCCCATAATCACTGGTAAGCCTGCCAGAGTATAGGAGATCAGTCTCTGCACAGATCACTGAAGCTCAAGAATCCCTGACATTTCCTTGGGACTCCCTAGGAAGTCACAATTAGAGTGCTAAAGGCCTCATCTAGACAGGAGGGGTTATCCCATCATTCTGAGATGAGGTGAGTGACAGCACCCAGCTAGGACAAAGCTCACCATCAACACTTTGGTTCCTGGACTACAAAGTACTCTGAGGCACTGAAGCACACCACAGGCAGCAGCTCCTCCTCTGCTTTCCTCTCCTCCTTCCTCCCTTCCTTTTAAAGAACAGCAACTCTGGCAGTTAAAACTTTCCCCAAGACACCAAGCACCAAGGAAGTGCTTCCTAGCTTCTATCAGGATACAGCAGCAGCTCTGCTTCTAGAGGCTGATTCAGGAGATGAGCAACCATGACAGCAGTGGACTGGGCACCAGAACAGGCGAGAGAAGACAGGAGGAGGGAGGACACCGGCTGTAACTGAGCTGACACTGTCAAATCAGACGGCAACCATCTTCATCCCCAGGCCTTGGCCTTGAACCCAGAAGGACTCTCCCACGCCCCTCTGCTACCTTTGGTGCAGATTCTCACCCCCCCCCCCCAACAACTTGCTCAATCTCTTCAAAGCTGTAGCTTGGCAAGACCCACGATACATGGTGGCTAATTCCTCAGGCAGGCCAACAGTTGGTGACGTGGGCTGCTCACATCTGTACTCCAATCCAAGATGGCTGTCATCTCTGATCTGGAACATATCTCTGAGCCTGAGAGACTCCTCTGGACTATACAGCTTCTCAAGCACCTACTTCTCAAGCACCAACTGCATACCTGGGCAGGTGAAGGTGGCCAGCAGAGACAGGCAGAGGCCCAGCCTTTGCTGGGGAACAGCCTTCATATGAATATGAGCACCAGGGAATGCTCATAGTGCCCAGCTGAAAGCACTATCTGGGCTATAACAACTAAACGCCTCTCCATCCAGAATTCCACCCACGCTTGCACTACACTTTGACAAGCAGTTCCTAGACTGCTATACCCATAATCCTATTCCCTGCTTCCTGGACACTGAGTTCTGAGGCCTTAAAGCTGCCCTCATCTCCTCTCTACCTCAGTGTGATTTAGGCCTCCAATAAGTCTTCTTGGTTTATCTCTAGAACAAAACCAAGGACTGGTTGCTTCCCACCTATTCAAGCTACCAGTCCCAGCATCTCCTGCCAAGTGAGGCACAAATGCTCCTGACAGGCTCTGCCTACCTCCAACCAGAGGAATTCTCCCAACCCTTCTCAAGTGCCTCAGGTAAGGAGCCCAACCACCAATCCCTTCCTCACTGTGTAAAAGCTAAAAGCCTTTTTTCATACTGATGCCAGTCCACTGTACGATGATGATGAGCCAAGTATGGGACCTATGACAAGGTCAGCACAGTGATAGTATTTAGAATTTCCTATCAGGAGTTAGGAAGATCCTATCCTACAGTCCCTCCAGGCCAACTCCTTTTGCTCCCTCCAGAATCCTCCAGGACCTCTCAAGGATGTCAAAAGCTGGGGGTGATACTACAAGGAATCAGTACTTATAGGACTTTAAAACCCAGGACCAGAGTTTATAAGAATGAAGGGTGGGTAGAAATGAAGAGGCCGAGGGCAAGGAAACCAAACAGAAGCTAGCACTGGACACAAGTCATGAATGAGATAAAGAACAGAATTTGAGAGATTTCCAAGGTCTTATCTACGGAGTTGATGGCAGTGAGGGGAAAAGTAGAATCAAAGAAAATCTGGCTCCTGAAAGAAAACTAGCCTCAAACACCATCATGCCACCATAGATTAGGACAATAGTGCAAGATCTTCCCCTGCTCTTGCAAGGTCTGGGGACTTAAGTGTAACCCCTCACAAAAAACTCACCTGAGTCACAGCCTAGGACAGAGGAAAAGGAGAGGAAGCTCCCTGGAGCTCTAGGAGAACCTACCAGAACAGACCCTAAGTAAGTGGTGGCAGAGACATGAGTATGTAGCTTCTATGTCACTGGGAAACCCCTCCAGACAAGTTCTGACCTTGATATCAGCTACTGTGTGAAGCCGATCTTCCTGACCTTTTCAAACATCAGAAGAAGCCACCACCCCACACAAACTCTTAGATGACAGGACACAATGGAAAATATCCTAGAACTAAATACAGTGATCACACAAATACCCAAGTCAAACAAGCTGTAATATTAATGAGGCATGAATGAGCAGGAACTGTCTCCAGGGCTGAATAGAGGCTAGCCACCTTATCAGGGAAACTGTACAAAGGCTTGCTGTTGGTGCCCCTTGGGCAAGAGTAGAAGAGAGAGCTTTCTTCTCAAGTGGGGAACCTATTCATGACCAAAGGGAGATTAGACTGAGAGCATTTTCTTGTGAGCAACAGTGAAAATCTGTTTCCAGTTTAACCTGCAACAGTGTAGCTCTGACCAGGATGCATTATTAATTAGGCAAAAGAGAAGCCCCATTTTTAGTTACCCATTGAATTCAGTCTCTTCAAACACAGTGACCTAGAATTGACAGTACAGCTAACTCTCTGTTTATTGTGGCAATGGGGATTTCAGCAATGATAACGGTCCATTGGAAAGCAAAAATAATCCCATTGGATGCTCCAACAAGGTGTCTACTCCTACACTGGGAATGATGGCTTCTAGTGGCCATCACTGAGGGTCTGCTACTAGCCCAGCTTTCAGAAACTGAAAGCACACATTTCCATCTCAAAAAGCCAAGCACTTGGGTTCACTACCACTGGTGGCCTGGCAGGCAGCAAGCACAGCACCCTCTAGTCTGTAGAACAAGGGATATGGGGAAGATGGGGTCATTGCCCACGCCTACCCACTGAGCAGCTCCCCCTTAAGCAGGTGAGAGATGATTGGGGGCAGGGAGCACAGGGCAGCAAGCTCCAGCAAAGAGAGGCAGAAAGGAGTCCAGGCACTGGAAGCTAGACAGGACGTCCAGCAGGAAACAGGGAGAGAGTTGGCTGTACTGGCATGACAAGCCCCACCCTCAGCAAGCTGCATGGCATTTCTAGGAAGAAAAGCAAACCGCTGTCCCACCTCGGGCTGCGCGGTCACAAGTGAGGCAGGGCTGGGCCCAATCGCCATTTGGCCGGGAGGCTAGGCCCAGGTGCGGCAGGCAGGGGTGGCGCTGGCTCAGTGGCTGCAGCTCCTCACTCTGACCCAGCATGGCCCCTGTGCGGTGCTGGGGACACAGCGAGGCCTCTGGTGCTGTTGGGCGGGGACACACACACACACATACACAAAAAAGAGACACACCATTAGAGGATGTGCAACAGCATGAGGGGACATAGGCCAAGGCCACCCAGGATCCTGCCTTAACTTTGCAGTCGGGAAGTCATGGAGACTTCTTGCTACATTCTATCCTTGGATTGCAGCTCAGGATCAAAGTCAAGGAAACAGGAGCATTCAGAGCTAGAGCATGAAAACCTCAGATGCCAGGCAGGGTCTATGGCTAAAGAGCTCAGGCATTGCCTAAGAAGAACCTGCTGAAGCAACTAGGCTCCCACACTCCCATCTTGCCCCTGCACCTTGTTCTACCCTGTCTACCAACTATGGAGGTTCTAGTTCCTTTGTATCCTCCATAGGAGGGTCCTCAAGGAAAATAAAACAATTCTCCTCTAATAGGCTGATCTTTTAAAATTTTATTTATTTATTTACTTTGGGGTGGAACTTAATCCTTAATCCAGGGAGCTTTCAGGTTATCTTTGGGTATAAGTGATCTCACAAAAGTCATCATCATTACTTAAGAAAAGCAACTCAAACTCAAAAAAGAAAATCACAAGAAAATGCTAATCAGTTCCAACCCTAATAACTTAGAATTCCTAAAGGCAGGAAGCCTGACTTTGATATGCAAATCTCTCAGAAAACACATTTCTCAAAATTCTAACAGTGGTCCAAAGTCAGACTGAAACATATTATACAAAAGCAGGAAATGCTGGCAAGGAGCAAAACTATTAAGAATGGAAAGTGTTCCGCCATGGCAGTCATGCAGATAGCACGCACCTGTCACCCAGTGCTCTGGAGGTTGCACAAGGAAGACAGCAAGTTTGTAGCCAGCTTGGCTACATAGGGAGATCCACTCTCAGAAAACAAGAAACAAAAAGGTTCCTGTTATGCTGACATTATGCACTAATTCCAAAAGTTATTGCTTTGGAAACCTTTCTGCTGCCAGAAGAGAAAACGTATGCATCCAAGGGCTACCAGAACCACCTTTCTCTCTTGAGTCCAGGATCCTCCCTCAGTGGCTGCCTAGCCCTAAGAACAGAGGATGAACACTGTGCCTTGAATCACTTCCTGGCAGAGCCCAGGAGGCCAGCTGGACCAGAAACCAGCTTCTACAAGGTCCAAACACCACTTCCTCTCCCTGAAACTTCCTGTGAACATAGGACAAAGACCCAAAGTGATCCATCACACACAGTCAGAACATAGATCAGTCCTGTGCAGTTCAGACCCAGCCATGCAACCAAATCAAATCCCAGAGACTCTTTTCCACATTGGGGGGGGTGGGTCCTTGCTGATGCTAACCTAGGGAGTGTTCCTCTATAGGTGAAACAGAGACATCCAACCCTGACACCCTGAATAACGGACTATAATGGTAAGCACTGAGCCATTCCAGAGACCTGCAACTCAGTCAGTAGAAAGACAGAGTACAAGATTCAGAAGCAGATGATCAAGGCACACTTGTTTCCTCCTGGCTACCAGGTATTTGGCTCCCTGAAGGTTTGGGCAGCAGGACAATTGCTCTGCTGACAGACAATCTTGAACAAAAAAAATCTGGTGAGACTGGCCTTAGAGCTCATTTTCTCCCAAGAACTGGAGAAGCATGGGCACGACCCTGCCTGAGACCCACAGAGCAGCCTAGGGACCAAAGACCCCTTTGTGACCACTCAATCCAGATCAAAGCAGCTGTCACCTGGGTTGTCAGAAGCTGAGAAATGAGGACAGAATGCAACCTTGTGACAGCCACTATTTCCTAAGCCCCAGCACCTGCTACTCCATACTTGAGCAAAGGTTGGATGTTTCGGTTACTCACAGCCATGGTAGGAGGCCGGTGAGCCCCCAGCCTTGCCATACTCCTGCTCCGAGTAGCTGGTAGAAAGGTTTGGCTGGCTGGAGCCACGGCCAAAGGTAATCTGGTTGCTGCCCACGCCAGTGGCCACCTGAGCCATGCGCTCTTTGGTTTTGAGGGCCTGGACCCTCTCCGCCTTCAGCCGCTCCTCATCTTTGAGGAGGGCAACCAGTTGCTTTGATTTCTCTCGTACGTTGATACCCTGGTCTTTGCCATCACGGTCAATGTACTGGAAGTCCTTCAGAGTCTGAATGGCAAAGATGTTCTCACGGCACTGCTGGGCCACCCGCTCGGAACCCGTCTTGATAAGGTAGTCCAGCAGTGTCAGTGCCTTGTACACGTGCCGCCAGTTCTTGCCATGGTCGTTAAGCCTTTTCCAAACCATGCTCATGATCTCCGAGAAGGCCACTACATTGTAGGTCAGGTCAGCAATCTCAGTCATCAGAGAGCTGGATGGACCCCAAGGGTCATTGGACGTGGCTTCCCGAACTTTGATTTCAGCCTCTGAGTAATTGTTCACAATGTTTTTCATCTGCCGTCTGATAGATGAAGTTGTCATTTTTCTCCTCTGTTAGAAATGTAAAGCCCTTCAAGAGAAACTTTCCTGTCCATAAGCCTGCACTCTAGTAAGTTTCAGTGTTGGTGATGCAGATGGAACAGAAAAACACTCAACAGTCATTTCCTCCTCCAAAGCCTCAGGTCCCAGAAGCTGGAAGCCATGCCCTAGAAAGAAAAGGAAAACACATTGCCTTGGTAAGAGCACCAGTGAGGAGGGAGGGCCCAACACAAGCTGTGTTAGAGAACACATCCCAGTTCCATGGATGCAGTATGTCCAGCCTGCTTTCAAAAGTAGGGTCAGATCAGAAATGCCACGTGCTAAAGAATAAACCTTAAACTCAAGTTTAAACCTTAAGCAAACAGCAAGCTATTGCTCCATCTCCTAAGGCTTTCGCTGGAGTGGCTAGCTTGCAGGCTATATGTTCACTACCAACCAAAAGCCAAATGGAGAAAAATCAGGGTATTAAGGAAGATGTCCTTATAAATTTATTTTAAATTTTAAATACTTACCTTTGGTGTTGGGTACTGAGATGCAGTCCTGAGAGTTTCACATGTGGGGGCAAGAAAGCTTCATTTCAAGAATACCTTAAACCTAAAGTGCCTGTCTATGCCTTTAAAATTGGGTTTGGCTCACAAGCCCCTAACGGCCTGAAAAATTCTCCTTAAGGGCCATTTCTCTGTGACCACCCTGAATGCGAATAAGTCAGGTCTTGGCTGCTTTTCTAGAGCAAAGCTAACAATCTACACTACTACCATCTCCCATTGCCCCACCCACCCCAGCTTTCAGGAGCCTCTGGCATGTGACCAGGGTCAAACCTAACCTCTCATCTCACAGAGGAGAAGCAGAGACGCAGAGCTATAGTCACAGGCTCCAAGTGCACCCGTCTCCTTTCTTCCTCAAGATGAGAAAGAGCTAGAGCAAGCATCTCTAGCATGGTGGGGCTCTGGTCCTAGAGTACGGTGACCACCATTTATCCCATTCACAGTGAATACCCAGCATCTAGCACTGAACCCAACATGGAATAAACATTTGAATGAATGATACTACACTTGGAAACAGTATTCCCATTCTCAAGGCTACAATTCAGCAAGAGATTATCTTCCTCATTTGTTTTTTTTATTTTTATTTTTTTTTTTTTGGTTTTTCGAGACAGGGTTTTCCTGTGTAGCTTTGCGCCTGTCCTGGAACTCACTTGGTAGCCCAGGCTGGCCTCAAACTCACAGAGATCCGCCTGGCTCTGCCCCCCCCCCCCCCCCCCAGTGCTGGGATTAAAGGCGTGCGCCACCACCGCCCGGCTTATCTTCCTCGTTTGTAAGATAAAGTGTTGGGGAATATTATTTTAAGGTGTGTTACTTTTGTTCATGTTGCATTTGTTTAACTCTGAGAAGCTGTGTTACTGTGCCTGTCTGGAACACCTGATGGTCTAATAAAGAACTGAACGGTCAGCTAGGCAGTGGTGGCACACACCTTTAATCCGAGCACTCGGGAGGCAAAGGCAGGCAGATCTCTGTGAGTTTGAGGCCAGTCTGGTCTACAGAGCGAGATCCAGGACAGGCACCAAAACTACACAGAAAAACCCTGTCTCAAAAAAACAAAAAACAACAACAACAACAAAAGGAATTGAACGGTCAATAGCAAGGCAAGAGAAAGGATAGGTGGGGCTGGCAGGCAGAGAGAATATATAGGAAGAGAAATCTGGGAAGAAAAAAGAAGTAGCCAGAGAAGGAGAAGGACAACTCCAGGGGCCACCTACCCAGCCAGATACAGAGTAAGATTTGCAGAAGAGAACAGGAAAAGCCCAGAGGCAAAAGGTAGACGGGATAAGTTAAGGAAAGCTGACAAAAGAAACAAGCCAAGCTAAGGTCGGGCATGTATAATTATGAATAAGCCTCCACGTGTGATTTATTTGGGAGCTGGGTGGTGGGCCCCCAAAAGAGCAAAAACAACCAATAATATTTTGGTGCCCAACATGGGGCTAGAATAAAAGAAAACAAACAACAACAATAACGAAACCAAAACTGGGAGGATTCCCAGGACAACTGAAAGCTGGTGAGAAAGCCAGGGCTCTAGCCAGACCTGCTAGAGTTGCTCAGTCCCTGAAAGTGAAGGTGGTTCCTCCCATTACAGATATAAAGCATGAACTATGGAGTCTTACAGTTGTCTGGAACTGACTGGTTACTAAAACAGGCTGAGACCCTCCTTCCTACACATCCTCATGCAGCCCAGAACCTGGCATCTACAGTGTACCTTCCTCTCCCTGGATTGCTGTGGTGTTTCTGAGCACCAGAGAAGCACCAGACATCCCTAGCTTCCTTCTCCAAGACTTACTCAAACAGGCAATGGGTGCATCAAAAATAAGCAAATGAAAAGGAGACAGAGAATACAGTAGTCACACATCACATGCAGCCACATAGGGTAAGAAGGAGACAACTCATAAAGCTTCAGGTGCCTTCTCTGCTCACTCAATATGCTGAGTAGTCTGTCTTTGCCTGAGGCCACAGTACTGGCTGCATGTGATGGCCAGCATGTTCTGCCTCTCTACCTATCTGGTCAGCTCTCATGAATGCCCAAAACCTGTCAGAAAACAGATAAAATCTCTGTGACTGTAAAATCAGAGTGACTGTACATCTGATTTAATTAGATTTTTCACTCACAATGTGACATTCACTGCAGGAGAGGGGATAGGACTCACAAAAGGAAAAAAGAGACCTCTGATTTTCAGTGAGCATTTCCCAACTTAACCAGATGTGTCAAAGTCAGTAGTCCTGTTCAGATTCACCTAATGCTCAGAGCTCTGGAATGTGTGTCACTTGATTTGGGACCCAGCAAATATGCCTGGTCTACACTTAGAGGGCCCAGGTTTAATTCCCAGGACCCACATGAACCCAGGGAACTTGAAGGCCTCTTCTAGTCTCTGCAAGCACCAGGCATAGATATAGGTATACATATATATATATATATATATATATATATATATATATATATATATATATATATAGATGTAGACAAAACATTAATACACAAAATAAAAACAAATCTTTAAAAGCCGGGTGGTGGTGGCGTACACTTTTAATCCCAGCACTTGGGAGGCAAAGGCAGGAGGATTTCTGAGCTAGAGACCAGCCTGGTCTACAGAGTGAGTTCCAGGACAGTCAGACCTGCATAGTGAGCCCCTATCTCAAAATAGATAGATAGATAGATAGATAGATAGATAGATAGATAGATAGATAGATAAACAAAAAACAAACGATAAATCTTTAAAGAGAATAAAATTTCCAAAGCATGTGAAATAACCACCATTACAACCAAAACAAAGAGATAAAACTCCAACCAACAGCAAAGCTGAACTCACCAGCTGGTCTGGAGAGTCACACCACGAGCAATATGAACTTCAGGCCTGAGGCTACAGTTTAGTGGCATGGGTTACTTAACCCACCCTGGATTCTATCTCCCATTCAATAAAAGAAAGAAAGAAATGGGGGCGGGGCAGACATGGTAGAATTGCAGCTACTAAGGAAGCTAAGGAAGGGAGATTTGAGTGTCTGAGACCAGCCTGGGCCACATAGTAAGTTAAAAACTATTGGGGGAGGGAAATAGAAAGGGGGAAAAAAATGTTCAGGCCGTGAGAGTTTTAAAGGATCCAGAACTATCTTTTGAGTAATGGAAGGGTAAGTATACCTTTTTCTACACAGGCAATCTTGTAAAGCCCAAATTGGCCTCAAGCTCACAATTCTCCTGCCTCAGCCTCCCAAATTATGTATGCCACCACACTTGGCTGATGAATATTTATTTTCCAGCCTGGTACTGAAACATGCAAGCTTTACATGTAAAGTAATCATCCCCAACTATCTTGGAAAGAGTCTATCAGTCTTCTTTGGGAAGTGGACAGAAGGGACAGAGGTAGGGTTTCCAAACACAGCACTGGAAACCAGAACAGACTACCTGGAGATCTCTGAATAGGACTTCAAACTAGTAGAAAATCAAGAATGTTACTAAACTTCTGGAAGCCATGACAGGGCCAGAACCAGAGGCTATTAAAAACAGAAGCAAGACACAGTAGAAAACAAGGAGGCATTGTTGGTTTTTTATTTTTTAAATACTCAGTCATCATCTAGGAAATTCACAAAAAGCACTTTTTTGTTTTGTTGAACTGTGTCAAATCAAAGGAAAGCAAATTTTAGAGTCTGAAACAAATGCCATTATTCTTTAAGGAAAGGAGGGCACAAGTCAAGACATCACATCATGTGAACCTCTGGGTCTACCATGCCGACTGTTCAGCTGCACCGGAAGTACCTTGTATACTACAGTAAGGCATGCTGTTGTGAGCAACACCTGAGAACACACAAAGTGGGAAGCTGGCAACAGCCAAGAGGTAGTAGGATCTAGAGCACCTTGAGCCTCAGCGGGATTGCAAATAGAAGCCTAGCTTCGAACCACACGAGACTCTCAGCCCATAATGCCAGGCTGACACCAGGAGAACTCAGTGCTCCCCAAGAATGCAGCCAACAAAAGTGGGGGCTACATACTCTTTAGCAAATGACATGACGGGTACAAAGTAACCACTACATCACAACATCTGGGGAGGTGGAGTCTGACACACTTGAAAACTAATCAGAATTCAATAGACAGTGGGGACTAAAAAGAAACAACAGAAAAACCTGAATAAAACTCCAAGGCTCGGGTGATATACCTGGAAGCAAAAGTAACCCCATTAAAAATGTGTTTCATTTGTGCAGCTGGGAAAGGAAATGCCTTCCAACCTAGAACTGCACAGCTCTGAGCAGCCCACCAAGGGATGTGTCAAAAATAGGGGCTGGAGAGATGGCTCAGCAGTTAAGAGTGCTAGCTGTTCCAGAGGATTGGGGTTCAGGTCCTATACCCATAAGGTAACCCAAAACCACCCTGAAACTCCAATTCCAGGAGCTTAAATCACCCCTTCTGGCCTCTGTGGACACCATACATGTTGCACATACATACATGCAGACAAAACACCCATACACATTAAGTAAACAAATAACAGTGAGGAGACCCTCAACCATCAGCTGACATCAAAGCAACTTTGTGGGTTACTATCAAGGACCAATATCTACTTTGAAGGACACAGCAACACCTGTCTGTCTACACTCCCTCCCCAAACCTAACAGATACAGGTCATTCCACAGAT